GGTCTTCAAAGAAGTGGACGCAAACGGTTCTGGTTCAGTGACGTTCGACGAATTTGCTGCGTGGGCTTGTGCTACAAAACTATCATCCGAAGGTGACTCATTATAAAGATAGTAAATATACCAAAAAAAAAATCTTTCGGCAATATGGCGCTGATATTGTACAAGATATCCTTTTTTTTTTGTTGTTTTATTTTTCTGTGGAAATAAAACCACAAATGGTCCACGAACTAAAAATAATCTTCTATTTTTTATAATCTTGTTGAGTATTTTTTTAAGGAGCTTCTGGAAAGAATATATATCCAGATTTGGTCAATGACAGTCTAGACTTTTGGGGGGTTGTGTTATTTTATTTCATTTTTTTTTTGAGGTTTTTGTAGACTAAAAGATACACTGGCTGAACAATTAGAAGGGATTAAAATTTTTTTTTTTTTTTTTTTGGTCCCACCCATCCTCAAGGCCTCCACGCGGAGGGTTTGGAGAAGAAGGGATATTAGAATCTGTCACTTTGTAATTCCTGACGTGTGATTCTATGGACTGAGTAGAGAATTTGATATTTATTGCATTACCTTTAAGTTTCTTGTCTTGGAACGCCCGTGTTGGAAATAATTAGAACTTCGTAGAATATTTGTTTGTTTATTTCGGTATATTTGTCTCAGCTGTTTGACTAAAGTAGGGAACATATTCTTTTGAATTTTATATTGTTTAAATTAATTCAAACACCTATAAAAAATAAATTACTTCATTTTATTCTTATCATGACAATAAATGACTTGAAGCATGTGCTACCTCTTATTTTTCTTCTATTTCATCAAAATTGGATGGGGATAACTACACAAAACAAACACTCGTCTACAGAAAACAAAAACAAAGCAATAAAGAAAAGCAAGAATAATGGGGTTTTGTGGATCAAAGAGCAGTACCTCCAGCAAGGAGGGTAAGTCTTCCCAGGACCGCAAGGTTGCATGGGAGCGTATCCGGCAGGTAATTCCCCGTGAAAAGACACCTGAGGCGAAGCAGCGACGCATCGACTTGTTTAAGAAGTTCGACAAAAACAATTCTGGGAAGCTGTCTTATGATGAGGTGTATGAAGGTTGTTTGAATGTGCTGAAGCTGGATGAATTCACTACACGGCTACGGGACATCACGAAGCGTGCGTTCAACAGGGCAAAGGACATGGGTAACAAGGTGGCGAACAAGGGTTCTGAGGACTTTGTTGAATTCATGGAGTTCCGTTTGTTTCTGTGCTACGTGTACGACTACTTTGATTTGATGGTGATGTTCGATAAAATCGACACCTCCGGCAACATGCTGATTGATGAGAAGGAGTTCAAGAAGGCCGTGCCGAAGCTTGAAAAGTGGGGTGCTAAGATCGATGATCCCAGCA